AAAACCAAACTTTTTTCGAATATTGACTTTCCCGACCTAAAAATACGACCAAAAAAATCGAATAAAAGTCTAGAGGTTTTCGCGATAAACAGCGCAAGGGTCTGGCGTTTTTGGCTATTTCCATCAGCTTTCACTCTTAAATTATGCTCTCGCGTGGCGAAAACACTGGAAATTGCCGAACATTTGCACGATCCAGAGTGTTTCATGGGCGCTATTTTCTTGAAAACATTTTAGATTGTGTCGTTAGCATTGTGGCCACGTTTCTCAAATTGTCCCCAAAAGGTTTGCATGTTGAAAAACTTTAAAAAATTAATCGAAGCTGCTTTTGAACAATATTTCTTCAACAAAAGGTTTGCTGCCTTTGAAATTTCCTTCTCAACTTCCACAGTTGGATGAAGCCTCGGTGGCCCTGTGGGACACCCTGTATATTGGCCCTTTTCGACCTCTATTCCAATTTCTCGTTCTTGTTGACCGAATTCGCGAATCGCTTCGGCCTCTATTCCCGCTTGAAATAATGCCGTTTAAAAAGAAAGAGGATCGATACTGGATGCTCTCTGGAGGATCGAGTTTCAGCGCGGAAGCTTTTACGAGAACATGGAAAATTTCAGACGAGCCTTAATGGCCTGGTAATTAAGCCCTGGAGCGATAATCCGCCTTTTAGAACTTCATCGAGCCACTAATCTAGTCATAATTGGAGTTTAAATGCTGTTTTTTTGCAGCCGACAACTTTAGACCGTACCTGACGTCGTTCCAGGGCAACAATTTTACCGACTACATCAACGCAGTCTTTGTGGATGTAAGTGTGATTCAATCATTCCAGATGAAAATATCCATCTGGGAACGGTTTCGGCTGCAAACTTTAACACGGCTTTATAAACTCAGGGGTACACAAAGCCGCGCGAGTACATCGTAACCGAATGGCCACTGAAGTCCACTCTTGGAGAATTCTGGTCGTTGGTTTACGACTATGAGTGTTCTGCTGTTGTGGTGCTGTGCGTCCCTCCCCACAACTCGGTAAGATCTCGACTAACACAGCCAAAGAACCACAAACTTCAACTGGTCACGCTTTGCAGCAGCAGTTTCCTTCCTTCTGGCCGGAGGGCCGCGCTCCCAAGAAATACGGCCCCGTATTTACCATCGACCACATCTCGCACAATCACTACTCCAAGATCAAAACCTGGGTGTTCAGGATCAACAAGAAGGTGAAGAAGCCAGTTTCGAATTCTCTATTCAACGATGCCAAAACGAATTATGTAGCTCAAATGGTTCTTGAGAAACTTCGAAAAAAGCAGCGTCATGTTCAAGTGGATTTTGCAATTCAAAAACAAACCACGCAAATCTAAAACTTCCTGAATTCAAACATTTTTTGAGAAAACTGTCAACATTTCCTTATCGATGGTTCACTTGCTAAAAAGGCCATTTATTTCTCTCTAGAATGACGTACAAATGAGCGTT